ATTCCCGACTCCTCCACTTGCAGCTGCTGGAGTGACCTTGGGCAAGCCATAGTTCTGTCAGAGCTGTTCTCTGAAAGACAGTTCTGCAAAGAGCTCTCTCAGCCCCACCTACCTCACAGGGTGTCTGTTGTGGGGAGGGGAAGGGAAAGGAGTTTGTAAGCCGCTCTGAGACTCTGAGTGAAGGGTGGGATATAAATCCAATCTCCTCCTCTCCTCTAAGTTGGCTTTGAGTTGATAGCACATTCTGCCACTAGTTTTCAGACAACCCCTGGAAGGTGTCCTGTTCAGAAGAAGAGGAGGAGGAGATTGGATATATACCCTGCCCTTCACTACCTGAAGAAGTCTCAGAGCGGCTTACAATCTCCTTTCCCTTCCCCTCCCCACAACAGACACCCTGTGAGACAGGTGGGGCTGAGAGAGCTTTTTCAAGAACTGCCCTTGAGACAACAGCTCTGAAAGAACTTACAACTGACCTAAGGTCATACCAGCAGCTGCATGTGGAAGAGTGAGGCATCAAACCTGGTCCTCCCAGATTAGAGTCTGCACTCTTAATCACTACACCAAACCGGATCTCAGGAGCAAGTCTTGAAGGGAGCGTAGGCTGCCCCGGCTAACGTTCCATGTATGTCCAGAGGCATCACATGTGAAAAACAGATAGTGCTGAGCAGATGACATTAATATTTTCAAACAGCTTGCAGCCATAAAAACACGCTGACATTTTTACAAAGCATAATGCAGGACTTCTCTGTTTTTTTAGGACCTGGAAATTGTGCAACGGCTATTGTGATGTGGTTCTGTTTTCATTTACAAGGCAGTGCAACAGGCTTTCAAGGACAACCCCCTCTTGTCTGACGAAGCACCAATCTGGTGACAAGTCCATTTCCTTGGGGCCTGAAAAATTAGCACGCAAAGCACAGCAGCAGTATTTCTGCTGTGAATCACAATTAAGTATTCATGGGGCTCGGAGGCATTTGTTCCACGAATGGACTTTCCTGTTTCATGGAGAGTGCATGGCGTCAGTTTGTTCTTTGGGGCCGTGAGGTTGCACCTGGAGCGGGGGGGGGGGATCCTTTGTAACCATGACGATGCTTTGTATTCTTGGTGCTTGGGTGGGGGGGGCAACAGTGGGAGGGCTTCAAGTGTCCTGGCCCCACTGGTGGACCTCCTGATGGCACCTGGTACTTTTGGCCACTGTGTGACACAGAGTGTTGGACTGGATGGGCCACTGGCCTGATCCAACATTGGCTTCTCTTATGGTCTTATGATAGCACCCATAACCTGACATGAATTCTGAAAGGGTGGGACCGCGTTAGGTTCCGTACAGCCTAATGAATCCTGGTATGCCATTTCAGATCCGGGGAAAGAGCGAAGGCGCTAGAGGTTCAAATACTTGTGCTTACTTATTCAAGGCTGTGGTCAGACAACAGGCTTGGTGCGGTCTGGCTGCGCCTCTAGTGTCTCAGGAGCTATTTGTTCCAGAAGGTTTTGACCAGACATGCCGCCATAATCCAGCCTCATCCTGTGACCAACCGATCAGATTACTGCTGTACGGTCACCATGGAGCAGGTGGGCAGGCAGGCAGCTTCTTTTTTAAAACGTCTACTTTGTGCATGCGCAGAACTGCTTATTCGCCAGGGGTGAATATGTGGTTATGCGCATATTGCTAACTATGGGGGGAAATAGCGGTCAGGGAGTCAAGCTGGGCTTTTTCTACCAAAAAAGCCCTGGATTAGATAGATTCATGAAGACGGGGTCCACCCGTGGCTACTAGCCATGGTGATTAAAGAGAACCTCCACGTGGTAATTAAAGAGAACCTGTGCAGGCAAGGCGGGATATAAATCAATAAATAATAAATAAATTCTGAGGCAGTGGACCTCCGAATATCAGTGCTAGGAGGCAGATGCAGGGAAGGGCTCTATGCCCTGTTGGTCAGCCGTCCATACTGGTTGGCCGCCGTGTGAGACAGCACGCTGGACTGGGCAGATCACGGATCAGATACATCAGGGACCGTCTTATATTCTTCCGTGAAACCTCTTCACAGGATCTGATTTGTCTGACTCTGCGAATTAGACAGCATTTGACCTGGAAGTAATTTCCCCCCTTAAATCTTGCAGATTCTGCTTGTCTTCCCCCCCCCACCCCCAGGTTGCCAGCTCTGGGTTGGGAAATACCTGGAGATTTTGGGGGGGTGGAGCCTGAGGAGGGTGGGGTTTGAAGAGGGGAGAACTTAATGGGGTGTAATGCCGTAGAGTCCACCCTCCAAATCAGTCATTTTCTCCTGGAGCACTGATCTCTGTTGTCTGGGGGTCAGCTATAATAGCTGGAGATCTCCAGGCGCTACCAGGAGCTCGGCAAACTCAACTCAGACCGATTTAGCCACTCACCCTCCCACGGGGGGCCACATATAATTAAAAAAAAACAGTTTTAAAGGGGTAATATAAGCACATCTTTCTGAGCATGTTCAGAGTGCCTTTCCCTCCCCCGTGAGCAGTGTCCCCCCCTGCTCTATGATTTAAGGGGAGTCCCAAACAAGAGGCAGGGGCCCCACACAGGACTAAGATGGGGCACCTCCCGTTTTAAAAAAAACAAGCATCGCTCCCATCGCCCCTGACAGTACCGACAAGCAGGGCTATTTTTGGGCAGGAACACACAGGAATGGAGTTCCGGCTGGCTCCCAAGTTGGCCACACCCAGCAGGAACTCATTAGCATAATAGGCCACACCCAACAGCAGAAACTCATTAGGATTGGCTACATTAGGGGTGTGTGGCCTAACATGCAAAGGAGTTCCTGCTACAAAAAAAGCCCTGGGTTTGGACAACAAACAAGGTAAACAGAATAACAAGCAAAAGGTGGGTGTGGCTGGATGACCACACTTCTGGTAACATGGGGGTGTGGCCTAATATGCCAATGAGCTGTGCTATCAGGGGTGTGGCCTAATATGCTAATGAGTTTCTGCTGTTGGGTGTGGTCTATTATGCTAATGAGTTCCTGCTGGGCTTTTTCTACAAAAAAAAGCCCTGCTTAGGACCAAATCCAGGATCCTCTCTCCCCTGGTAGGTTCCGTGACCATCTGCTCCACAGCACAGACGAGTGACCTTGATGGATATAACATGTTTGTTCATGTGTTTTAGAGTGTAGCTACCCTGTGAAACCCGCACATACTTTTAGTGGTGCTCAGTGGATTCATTTAAGAGGCTGTGATTTATGGATTCTTGAAAGAAGCTGTGACATCCGCATTGGGATGCAAGTCTATACCTTGCAAAATTAAGCTCTAAAACATCAGCCGCCTTGGAGAGGGCCAATAATTATAGCTCCAGTTTATGAAATGTAAATTAATGCACTGCATAAAACAAGCATTTACCAGCTCCGGGAGGGACATTTTGAAAGGAGGTGATAAGAAGACAGCGTTTCTGCCCTCGCTCTGGAAATGAAATGCTAAGGAGGCCAGGCTTGCATCCTACAACTGCAGCTCATTTTGAAAACTGTCATCTGCACTTAACTAAAATTGATCTCACCAATATGTGCTAAAAATAGCACGGGGGGCGGTGGAAGGAGGGAGGGAGGAAAACTCCTCTCGACAATGCCTCTGTCCTATCTCTGCCTGCAGGCTCTTCCAAAGGAGGGAGAACGCGGGAGAACGCGACCTTTGCAAAATGCTCTCCCAGAGTGCAGAATAATGAATAATGCTTCACGTTCCAGCAGCTCTGAAGCAGGAATTGATTTATTATCCAGATAACGGGTCTAAATGTTTCCTTCTGTAATGCCGCAGCAAAGGTGCATGGGGGGGGGGAGCTGGTGCTGGTGTTCTTTTTATGCGGCACACGGCCAGCATGAAATGTTGGTTTTCAGAACAAATCTTATGGGAAGCGTACAGGTGGGGGAATCCAGTGGTGGAGGTGCCTTCCAGGGACTAAAAACAGTAGTGTTGCCCAGCAGTGTTCCCTCTAAGCTGAGTTAGTGTGAGCTAGCTCACAGTTTTTTAGCCTCTGGGTCACACATTTTTGTCTTAGCTCAGTAAGGAGGGCTCCAGAGCAAACTAAATGATGCTGTAGCCAAATCGCTCGCTCACAACTTTAATGCCAGCAGCTCACAAAGTAGAATTTTTGCTCACAAGACTCCACAGCTTAGAGGGAGCATTGGTTGCCAGCTCCTGGTTGGGAAATACCTGGAGATCTTGGGGGTGGAGCTTGGGGAGGAGAGAGACTTTTATGAGGTATAATGCCATAGAGTCCGCCTTCCAGAGCAGCCATTTTCTCCAGGTGAACCGATCTTGGTTGCCTGAAGATCAGTTGTCATCCCAGGAGATCTCCAGCTACCACCTGGAGGTTGGTAACCATAACAAACAGTAGTCTCTGTCGTTCTTAACCACTACACCAGGGGCGGCCAAACTTGCTTAATGTAAGAGCCACACAGAATAAACGTCAGGTGTTTGAGAGCCACAAGACGTGAACAAATATTACACACATTTTTATTTAACAATATGCACATTTGCTTGTTATTAACTTCAAACGAGACTGTCAAAAATAAAAACAAAAGGGGTAAAAACAGACACTGATGATGATATTTATTTGTCTGAGAGAGAGAGGGAGGGAGAGGGAGAGAGGGGGGGAGAGAGAGAGAAAGAGGTAGAAAGAGGGAGAAAGAAAGAGGTAGAAAGGGGGGAGGGAGGGGGAGGGAGGGAGGGTGGGAGAGCATGCCTCCGCTTCCCCAGCCGCCCTGCCGGGAGCCACACAGTATGTGTGAAAGAGCCGCATGTGGCTCCCAAGCCACAGTTTGGTGACCCCTGCACGACACCAAACTGGCTATCACCCAACGTAGTCCTAAATAAAGCCAGCTTCAACTACCTCTTCAGGGACAAAAGTGAGGGGGCCAGGTGCATCTTTCTGGAGAGACTGTTCCATAATCATGGCCCTGCGCACTGCAAACGCCCTCTCTCGTGTAGCCTCCGACAGCTGACACGTTTGTTTCAGAATGTCACCCCAAGACCCATACTAACGAATTATGGGGGGCTTAATACACGGAGCTGCGGTGGCTCAAGTGGTTAAGACGCTGAACTGCAGGCTGTAGAAGGTCAGTAGTTCAGCAGTTCAAGACCCGGGTGCCGCAAGACGGGGTGAGCTCCTGTCTCTAGTTCCAGCTCCTGCCAACCTAGCAGTTCGAAAGCAAGAAATTGCAAGTAGATAAATAGGGACCACTTCGGTGGGAAGGTAACAGCGTTCCGTGCGCCTTGGCGTTTAGTCATGCCGGCCACATGACCACGGAAACGTCTTCGGACAGCGCTGGCTCTTCCGCTTTGAAACAGAGATGAGCACCGCAACCCTAGAGTCGGATTCGACTGGCTCTCGAGCAAGGGAACCTTTACCTTTTAATACACGGAACCAAGCCAGGACAAACACCTACTAAAGGCACACCTTTAAAAGCCACGAGCAGTCATGTACCTCACCTGGCCCCAGTTTTGAAACGGCACAAAGGAGGTCGTAGTTGATGACAGGCGTTGCATCGCTGACCGGCTGCCAGCCGACGGGCGGCGAGGCGGGAGGGGAGATGAGGAACTGCTTGGCTGGCTGGGGGGGCGCCAGATGTCGCTTGTCTCCGTCAGTCTCTGAGGTCTGGACCTTTTAGAAGAATGAAAAAACTTGTTTCAGTGGGGAGAAGACCAAAAAGGCTAAGGCAGAGAACGTATTTGCAGATAAATGTCAGGAAGACAAGACTGTCATTTACATGACTATGTCTATATCATAGTCTGCTGTTATTTATCGTATGGCGGAGTTACACACAGGAAGCATAATATAAAATACGTAACCACGTTGATACAATGGGTATGCAGACCAACTGGACAATCCCCCTAAATACTAATATCTAGATTTTCAATCCACTCAATCTGTAATGTATCCCGTTCCGACCACGTGGCTGGCTTGGGCTCCACGCGGTCAAGCGCAAACATCGAGCTTCGCTCAGGGAAACAATGGACTAAGCGGATCCTAGCCCATGCCCATCTGAGGGCTAGTTTCCCAGCTGAGAGCCTATGGAACTCTTGGCCACTGTAAATAACCTATTGGAATGTGTGGGGGGTGTGTGTTCTGGGTGGTGGTTTCACGGGGAATATAAGCCGACCTGCGAGCCGGCTAAGGTTGTCTTGTTCTTCACTAATAAAAGTACGTTAGCTGAAATCACTCGTCTGTCTGCGTACTTTTCACAATCGCAGCTGGGGGAGAGTTCAAAGAGCTCTGTCACATCTCCCTGGAAAGCATGACGCTCACATTCCTGGGACAGATGGAAAATAGTTTGGCGGCCTGCACCACAATCACATTCAGGTCCTGGTATTTTGCCCCATTTAAGCAACAAGTCTGCACAACTTCCCAACCCTGTTTATATTCTATTAATCATCTTCCATGATTTATGTGGCAAGTCAAATCCTGAGGGCCTCTCATTGGCGTTTATTAGGTTATGCATATTGGGTGGAACTACTGCGATGCTCTCTACATGGGGCTGCCCTTGTCCCAAATCCAGAAGCTGCAGTGAGTGCAGAATGCGGCGGCCAGGCTGTTACTGGGTCTCTCTCTCAGGGAGCACATTCAGCCTGTGCCGAAAGCACTGCACTGGCTACCTAGAGCATACCGGGTTCGCTTCAAGGTGCTGGTTTTCACCTATAAAGCCCTATATGGACAGGGGCCGGCATACCTGAGGGACCGCCTTTCCCCGTATGTTCCCCAGAGAGTACTGCGGTCAGGTTCACAAAACCTTCTTGTTCTCCCCGGCACGAAAGATGCCAGGCTGGCAGTAACCAGGTCTAGAGGCTTCTCGGTGGCAGCTCCACTTTTGACACACCAGGGCCTTGGAGGCCCTGTGGGACGTATCAAAATCCCGCAGGGCCTGCAAGATGGAGCTCTTCCGCCCAAACATTTGAGTGAGATGCCACATTAAACGGCCACCATCAAGCCGATTAATTATCCCCTACAACCTACTCATGGCCGCCTGCTTTAACATCGGTGCCCATATTAAAGAACTATACACTAAGGAGCAAGACACCAGCTGCTGAATTCCCCTATGGTGATCAATAGGACAGTTTTTACCATCCTATATATTCTGTACCTCTGAATAATTTTTATGATTTTAAATTGTTCAAATCAATGCTCCCTCTAAGCTGCAGAGTTCTGTGAGCAAAAATCCTACTTTCTGAGCTACTGGCATTAAAGTTGCAAGCAGGTGATTTGGCTACGGCACAAATTAGTTTGCTCTGGAGCCGTCCCTTCCTGAGCTAAGGCAAAAATGTGTGAGCCGGAGGCTAAAAAACTGTGAGATAGCTCACACTAACTCCGCTTAGAGGGAACACTGGCTTGAATTGTTTTATTGTTTTATGATGCCAATGGGCCTGTAAGCCACCCTGAGCCTGCTTTGGCAGAGAGGGTGGGGTATAAATGGAATAAATAAATAAATAAAATGGATTGCATCCACATTCGCAACCATTCATTCCCTAGATCGAAATTCTGCGATTGCAGGATTTGTACAGATCTTATTGCTGGGTGTCGGGGGACTTCGTCTGGATAGGCCTGCGTCAGCTGTATTCTGCTGGGTCACACCCACTGGAACTTACATGTGTGTTCCGTTCAGCGGGTCCCCCATTCAGAAGGCTTACTGCACAAAACAAGGGCAGGACTAGGAACCCCCCCCCCAAAAAAAAGTTGGAAGCTGAGTCATGATAGTAGAAAGATACCCAGGATGAAGCAACTGTCCCACCACCTCTCTTTCTATGTCGTATCAATCTAGAATTTTTTTATCCCAGCTGTCCTCCAAAGGAGCCCGGAGCAACGTACACAGTGTTCCTTTCCTCATTTTATCCTCACAACAACCCAGTGGAGCAGGCTCTGGGTTGGAGTCAAACTAACTTGTCCGTGGGTCGCAAGGATTTCCACCCACAGAACGTGAGTTTCCCGCTTCCCCTCTCCTGCGGCAGCCCCAAATCCACACCCCCCCCAATCCTGTTCCTGGGGGAGAGGGTAGTCTTGGGAACAGGATTGTCAGGGGAAATTTCAGGATGCCACAAGAGAGGGGGAAATCGTGCTCTGTGGGCAGAAATCCTTGCACCTGTGTAAATGTCTAGTCTGCATCCAAGCCACTGTGACTACACAGCAAGGTTCACAGCAGAGTAATGTCTCCCAGATCCCAGTCTAGCAGTTAAAAGCATCACCCCAGACCGGCTTCCTTGTCCTGCATAATCTTTTATGTATCCGATCTGTCCACCTACTTTTTCTTTCCATCCTTTCCACCCTGTCTCTGCTCTGCAGAGAAATACACAGCCCCACAAGAATTTCTCCTGTAAATGCTTTTTTCAATCATTTTAAAGCATTTTTTTAAGGCGTGCGTTCCTTTAAACAGAGTGGGGTGCCGTAGTTGACTAACTCCCGCACTGAGCAAGGGGGTTGGAGCAGGTGACCTCTAGGATCCCTTCTAATTCTGTGTCAAGAAACTGGTGTCCTTTAAGGGAGTTTTTCTGCCTACATGTCAGCTTTCTTGACTACAGAAGTCATCACTCCCACCTGCCGGCTTGTCATCAGAATTGTTGCTTAGGCTGGCAGAAGTGACTAACTTGCAGCAGCTGAGAACTGCCATCTAAAGTGGCTGACAGCTTGCAATTTAGAGATCTATCCTGGGAACAGCTTTCTACTGGCTAAATGGCTTTTCTTTCTGCACTGAGAAGTTCAGCCCCACCAGAAAAAAACATTTGCCCCAGAAGCCACAAAATCCTGGCTATGGGCCTGCTTTGCCTAGTTTGGACTGGAGGCTTCCAGAATGTGCTATCCTCTAAAGTGGAGGCAACCAAACTTTCATCCACCCCAAAGGAGAGCACCTTTTGAACTGAGTATGTCTATATACCACACAGGTTCCCATGTGTTGAAAAGTCAGTCACCATGACATCACAGAACACCATCGAAGAAGAAGAAGTAGTGGTAGTTGGATTTATGCCCCGCCCTTCACTTGGTGTCTTAGAGTGGCTTACAAACTCCTTTCCCTTCCCCTCCCCACAACAGACACCCTGTGAGGTAGGTGGGGCTGAGAGAGCTCTGAGAGAACTGCCCTTGAAAGAACACCTCTGACAGAACTATGGCTTGCCCAAGGTCATCCAGCAGCTGCAAGTAAAAGAGTGGGGATTCAAACCCGGTTCTCCCAGATTAGAGTCCATGCACTGAGATTGGCTCTCAGTAAATACATGTGAACTGTGAAGTTGTAAAGTATGGCTACTGACCACAAGTGTATCCAAATTCCGGTCATCTATGGTCTTCTCAGTTTACCTCAGTGAAAACAACTGTTTGGAAGCACTCACCCCAGTTAAAGAAGTACAAGTGGGGGGAACCACGAAACTCATGGAAGGATCACACTCACCACCCCCCATCGCTGTCCGGTGCAACTCCCTTGGAGTTCAGCCACAGCGGCAGTGATGTCTGGGAGCTTCTCTGAGCCCGGAGGGGCTGTTGGCCACCACCAGGCCTGGAGCAGCTCTGAGCACGGCCAGGCCTGGAGCACTCAGACCCACAGCTAGGGTCTGAGTGGTTCCCAGGCTGCACCACGACCAAGGCCCAGGCCGGCCAGCAGCCCCTGGACTCCACCACTTCCATGGCTGGGCTCGGAGCAGTTCCCGGGCTCCACTTTGGCCATGGCCAGACCTGCTGGCAGCTCCCAGTCTCAGCCACCGTGTCTGGACCTGCCGGCAGCTTCTAAGCTCTGTTGCCACTGCAGCAGCAAGCACCAGGCCCTTCTCCAGCTACTCAATGGTAAGTGTGCTTTCTGCACATGTTCAGAAAACACTTTATTTAATTTAGGGGAAATTACCCCCCCCAAAAATTATTTTTTTAGCTTCTCGGATTTTTTTGCAAACCGAGAAGGTCTCCCAAATTTGCAAAAAATCTGTTTGGGGTAAGCGTGGCCCCAATCTGCAGGTTTAGCTATCTGCAGATGGGAGCCACACTTGGGAAATAGATATATAGACTTCTGGTTTATGGCGACACGCAGGCAGACGCATCTCCCAGACGTCCCGGGGATGCAAACTGCACACCCACGTGTAGGAGGGGCCCCCCTGGAACCTTGGTAAAAGGCTCCTAGCCAGGGGGCTTTTGAGGCGCGACCTCTTCGATGGCGAAATGCCGGAGAATTGAGGCGCTCCTCCGCCCCGAAGGTCCTGCCGCTGAGTGACCATATGGTACGAGTGCTGCTGACCGGGACAAGCATTGGAGATCGGGCAGAATAAAAACCGATGCTGAGCGAGGCCGGATGGGCCAACAACGAACTGTGAGTTGGGTTGAAGCGAGCATGAATATATAAAAAGAAAGCTGCCCCCTCCTAAAGAGCCACGGAAAAGCAAGCGGTGGAGGGGCTCCTCCCAACCGCATAGATGAAACATGTGCAAAAAGAGGGGGGAGCGAAAAAATAAGCGCTTAAATCTGTTTTAAGAGACTTACCAGAGTTCCGATAAGCGTTTGGGCGAATATCAGAGACTTTAGCAACTTTGTGAAAAGTAAACAAATCCGAAAAGATGGTGGGGAAGAAACCAGAGAAAGAAAAGCTGTTGAAACCGAAACTAGTGGGTAGTCCTCGAACGGAAGAGACTACCGGGCTCTCAAAACTGTTGGCTGATTCCTTGCGCCCTCTGCTGGATGAGATGACTAATATCAAGCAACAACTGTCAATAATCGGTCAGAGTTTGGCATCACAGCAGTTGCAATTGACTCAATCTTTAAAAGTAACGGAGCAAATGGAAGAGAAGGTGAAGGAAATGGACGCCAATACTAAAAAAGTTAAGAAAAAGGTGCAAAAGCTGGAAATGAAGCAAGCCACAGAAGAGTCAAAACTTTTACAGCTGCAAATGGAGAAAGCAAATTTGGTCCTTCGGTTCCAAGGTGTCCCGGAAATTAAAGGAGAGAATCTGAAGCGACTAAGGCAATAGCCCCAATGACAGATTTGACAGCGGAATACCTCTACAGCAAGATGGATGAGGTCTACAGGTCCTATTCCTCATACATCAAGAAAAATAATCTGGCTGGGGAAATAGTAGTCAGATTCTCGAAGAGACATGTGAGAGATGCTATCTTGAAAGCAACTATGGGAGCACCCTTGAAAATTGGGGACAACAACATCAGGATTTAAGATATTCCATTTGACATAAGACAGAAGAGAAAGAACTATAAAGAATTAATCCTTTTCTTACAAACAAATGGCATCAGTTAGAGATGGCTAATTCCAGAAGGCATCATTTTCAAACTCCACGATAAAAAAAAAAGATTGACTCTGTTTTTAAAGCACGTGACTTTCTGCGAACACAGCTCGGGGAACCAAATGAGGACAAAAAGGAAGAAGAAGAAAGCAAATCTGATGGAGAGTTGGACTCGGGGTCGTCGGACGAGGACTCCCCCTCTGAAAAGGGGGCGGTTGCCCCCAAATGTTCATATAAACTGAGGATTAGAAAAGATAAGAACAAATAAGGGCAGAAGGACTCTGATTTGTGCCTTTAAAAATGCTGAAATAACCTGGGGATGCTCTGGGGATTTCTTTAAACAGTTAAAGGGATGATTAATTGATAAGTAATTTAGCATAACTGACTATGTTCATTGTTTTACTAGCTTTTTAAAATAATATTGATACAAGCTGATGTATTGATCTCCTACTCTTGGGTTTTTAGTTAGTAGTGGGTCTTTTTCTTTCTCCTTAGATGTAGTTCCCCTCCCTATATTTTCAGTTATAGTTTGTAGTTTGAAAAAAACCCAATAAAAATTCTGATTAGGGGGATCCCAAAAAAAAAAGGAAATAGATATATAGATTGTTATCTCTTACAGCAAAAGTGGATGAATAGAATACCTCTCATGCCATTAATCTACTTTAATACTGCCAGTAAGGAAAGTATCTTACATATAATAACAACAATACGATGTAACATTTTAAAAAATTTGGACCAACTAAATTACCACAAGTAATCTATCTATCTATCTAGTACTGCTCATATATTGATAGCCCTGGGCAGAAAATAAAATTATAAAATAATGCCTTACTTAGTGTTATATTAACAGAAGTACTGAGGAAGCTTTTGAGTTTTCCAGAACTCTTCAGGCTAGGTTTTCTGAACACACATACACACAAAGGGGAGGGGGGGGTGAGATGTTTCAGAGCTCAATAGGAAAAATGAGAATTTTCCATCGTGTCCTCTCCACCCCCATCTTTACCTTTGTGGTTTGTGTTGTGATGTTTTGGTCGGTCCTAATTATATCCTGCCATGGGGGTTTTCCCCCCTGAAGGTCCAACCATTTCCCTCAAACTAAAAAAGTTCTTACCTGCGCAAAGTACAGTTTTAACTTCTTCCCCCGAAACTGCGTTTCATGAAGCTCTATCCTGGCTCGAGCAGCCGATTTTGGGTTGCTGAAGTTTATCCGGACCCGCCGAAAACTCTTAAAGAGCTGAAACGTCACACAGTCGTCATAAGCACGGAATAAGCCCTCAAATTTGTCCTGTAAACATAAAATGATTCTGGTCACCTTCGAAGCCCACGCCGTTTTTGTTTTGCCTTGTAAATTCCCCATAATACCAGTCTTTTGCAACTGTACCAATTTACAGAGATATACTAAACGTGGCCTACATCCACGCATCTCTATACATGCAGAGGTACAGGTATAGTCTCAGTCGTGAAAGGCAGTGTGGAGGCCATACCAATTTTGTATGACCAGTCGTGGCTGGCCTCACCCTCCATATTGTGTGACTTTTTCTCTTTGTTTGTTCTATATGGGGCTACAGACCTGACCTATATGGCCCAGGCTAGCCTGAATCTCATCAGCTCTCAGAAGCTAAGGGTCAGGTCCCCAGCGAAGGCACTCGCCACACACGCTTTTGGCACTGTAATGCTTAATTGAAGATTTGCTGCTGTAGGTACAAGAATCTTTGTTAGGACTGAAGGAAAAGGCGGGAACTTAGAGGTTACAGGTAAAAGTGTAACATTCCACAGTCACAGACGACCTACCCCCTAGTGTTTCTATGGCAACACAGGCGCCCTATCTAACCTAAGGGAGCTGTGGTGGCTCAAGTGGTTAAGACGCTGAACTGCAGGCTGTGGAAGGTCGGTAGTTCAGCAGTTCGAGACCCGGGTGCCACATGACGGAGTGAGCTCCCGTCTCTAGTTCCAGCTCCTGCCAACCTAGCAGTTCGAAAGCAAGAAATTGCAAGTAGATAAATAGGTACCACTTCCGTGGGAAGGTAACAGCGTTCCGTGCGCCTTGGTGTTTAGTCATGCCGGCCACATGACCACGGAAACGTCTTCGGACAGCACTGGCTCTTCGGCTTGGAAACGGAGATGAGCACCGCTACCCTAGAGTTGGACTCGACTGGCTTTCGAGCAAGGGAACCTTTACCTTTATCTAACTTAAGCTAGGCACAAAGATTCACCAAGGTCAGTCTCATGTAGGGTTGCCAAATCGGGCCGGGGGGCGGGGAACCCCCTGCTTCCGCGGCCCGATTTCCAGCGCAGGGGAATTCCGGCCCGGGGGGAACCCCGCCCCCCAAGCTGCGTCACCAGAGGTGACGCAGCCACGTTGCCGACGCTGGGGGCGTGGCTGAGCTCGTCGGAGGGGAAAAACGTATGGTTTTCCCCTCCGACGAGCTCAGCCATGCCCCCAACGTCAGCACGTCGCCCGTCACTTCCGGCGACGTGCTGCCGACCGCGGCAACGCTCCCCCGCCGCGGGGGGAAGAAGATTTGGCAACCCTAGTCTCATGAGAACTGATACTTGGGGCACAGCTTCAGGAATAATTATGACTAGGCCATGGAACTAGCTAATAAGATTTAAAGGTACTTTTAGAGACAATTCCATAGCTAAGATATGTGTTGTTGTTCTTTAAGTAGGTGGAGGTGTTGCCAATCCAAAAACAGAAATCAAAAAGTGCCTTTTATTAAGGTCAACTAAAATAACATAAAATGAGCTTTCTTGTTTCAACTTGTTTTAATGATGCATTTGTGTATTGGTTTTAATGGCTTTTAAGATGAGATTTTAATGGGTATATTTTTAATTTGTTAGCTGCCTTGGTGGTCATTTCTGCCCCAAAAGGAGGGGTAAAAATCTTGTTAATAATAATTCCTCTTCCTCAGCATCCTCCGTGGATTGCTTTGCTGGGTTAAGAGTCTTTGTGGTTAAGAGTCAAATCTTTTTTTATCATACTTTGTAATCTGCTTGCCAATTGACTTTATCGTTCTTATTCGTATTTGCAATCTGCCTTGAGTGCCGGTGAGAAGAGCGGACTATAAATGAAGACGGTAATAATGATGATGATGATAACAATAACGGTTAATATCAGACTGCCCCCTTGGCATTCTGGGAAATAAGAAGCAAAAAAAAAAAATGGAACCCATCCAACTGAAAACATAACCCCCCATCAGTTAATCAAACGTCTCTCTGACACCAAATGAAATACACGGGTCCTTGAAAAGACCAAAAGTAAACAAATGCAAGAAGTGGTGAAAGGAGAAACTGCAGGGGCGATTCGGGGGGGGGCATTAGGAGCCAGAAAGGGGTGGGGGAAATTGAGAGCAGGAGACAGCAGGGGCAGGTGGGTGTGAAGGCAGGTAGGAAGTCTGGGGGAGGGGAGGGCAAGCGGGAGGCGGAGCTGGAGTGCAGGGAGGGGAAGTGGAAAGGGGGGGAAGATGGGGAGGGAATGAAATCCCCCCTCCCAAACCCTCTAAGGTAAAAGGTAAAGGTTCTTTTGCTCGAAAGCCAGTCGAGTCCGACTCTTGGGTTGCGGTGCTCATCTCCGTTTCAAAGCCGAAGAGCCAGCGCTGTCCGAAGACGTTTCCGTGGTCATGTGGCCGGCATGACTACACACCGAGGCGCACGGAACGCTGTTCCCTTCCCACCGAAGCGGTACCTATTTATCTACTTGCAATTTCTTGCTTTCGAACTGCTAGGTTGGCAGGAGCTGGAACCAGGGACGGGAGCTCACTCCATCATGCGGCACACTCGGGTCTCGAACTGCTGAACTACCGACCTTCCACAGCCTGCAGTTCAGCGTCTTAACCACTTGAGCCACCGCAGCTCCTTTGCCCAAACCCTCTAGTAGTAATTTAATTCAAACATGGATAACTGTGCTGCCACATACCACAACGAAGACGGGACTACTTCCAATTGAAGATACCATCTAACAGACACCACCACCACCCCAAAAAAAACACAACCCACTAGTTCCTTTAGGGAGGGTGTGACCCTTTCTGGAGCAGACCGACTTTCATCCGTACATAATCAGCCCCCAACCACCCAGTCTTCTATGAAGGAGGTATCAGCTTCTTGGGCCTCATCCAGTTAGTGGCTGTTTCCGAGGGCTCATTCAGAACATCCATTCCCCCCTCCTGATTCTGATGAGGAGAAACGGAACTGGACGTTTTCGTTGCAGGGAGGGCGTTTCGCTCCCAGTTTCCGGACATCTAGCAATGTCACACAGAGGCTGGAAAGCACAGGGGACAGGATGGGACCCGGGAGAGACTCTCTTGCGTCACGCAGCCAAGCAGCTGTGCCCTTGAACCACCTTCTGGAACACATCCGCCGTCTCACCCAAGAATAACGGGATATGCAAATGAACGCGTCCCTAAAAGGGAGACTGCACGTAGATCCCCCCACTACCTCCGCCGGCACGCACACGCACTTTTACTAATTCCACCTCTATTTTTCATACTGCATACTCTACAACTGCACCTACTCTACAACTGCACCAGTTTGGTGTAGTGGTTAGGAGCGTGGACCCTAATCTGGGAGAACCAGGTTTGATCCCCCACTCCTCCACATGCAGCTGCTGGTGTAGCTTTGGGTCAGTCACAAGGTCTCTCAGAGTTGTTCTCTCAAGAGTTCTCTCAGCCCCACCTGCCTCACAGGGTGTCTGTTGCGGGGAAGGGAAGGGAAAGGAGATTGTAAACTGCTCTGGGACTCATTCCGGTAGTAAAGGGAAGGATATAAATCGAAGAAGGAGGAGGAGGAGATTGGATTTATACCCTGCCCTTCACTCAGAGTGGCTTACAAACTCCTTTCCCTTTCCCTCCCCACAACAGACACCCTGTGAGGTAGGTGGGGCTGAGAGAGCTCTGACAGAAACTGCTCTTTTTTCAAGAACAGCTCTTATCAGAGCTACGGCTTGCCCAAGGTCATCCAGCCAGGTGCAAGTGGCGGAGTGGGGAATCAAACCTGGTTCTCCCAGATTAGAGTCCGTGCACTGAACCACTATACCAAACTGACCCAGTATACTAACAAAGCTGCAATCCTAAAAACACTTATTCTAGGAATAAGACCCACAGTGTTGTGAGACTAAAAGGTCTCTTCCGCATTGTCTTTTTTGTTACTTGTTTGTCCCCATTGCTTCAGGGTTTTCCCCCTTTTTCCCAGAGGGAGTAAAACACATGTGGAAAAGGGGGGGACGGGACCCAAAGCAATAGGGACAAAATGACCGTGCGGAAGTGGCCCTTGTCTCCCTTTGTGAAAAGGAACCTTTCTGATTCTGCGAAGAGATGGTTACCCAACAATCTGCAAGTCTGACGTCAGTCATTGATTGTAAAAAGCACAAAACACATCAAGCGATTCTTTGGACATGACAGCTGCTCTTCCGCCTCCGGCCGCTTTGTTTCCGCAAGGGACTCTGGAGGCCCATTTCCTCCTTGGGGATGGCGACGAAGCTCTGTGAGCGTTTGCCGGCCCGAGGCTGCAGAAAAATACTGAACCTAAACCGATTCAAAACACTGTGCTTTGGGGCAGCGGTTCCAGTGTTGGGCTAGAATTTGGGAGTCTCAGGTTCAAACCCCCACTCGCTGGGTGTCCTTGGGCCGGTCACACATCCTCCGGCCCAAACTACCAGATCTTTTGCTGTGAGTCAGACCAGGGTTCTCTCAGCCTGACCTGCATTCCCCCAGCCAGACAGCATCTGCTGGGAACGTCCTTTCTTTAGTGGATGACCCACACACACCTGCCACCGACACCAGCAAAGGACACATTGAGACCACATCTCCTCTCTTGTTTGGGTCAGGATCACAGTCCAAAGCGGCCGTGAGAAGGAGTTTCAAACTCCCCCCCATGCCATTTTCCCAACCTGAAACAGTCCTGAGGATATTGTTTGCCCCGCTAGGGAACTGTAGGCAACAAGCCCCCATGGCGGCCATTTTGGGCCACGGGGGCATTTTTATCAAAGAATTCACCCACCCTAAAGGGAATAGGCTGACACTCCTGCTTTTCATGAACATTTAGGGCCGTGAACGTCCCCTTTTCCAGACTGGGGACACACTGAGGTGCAACCACGTGACAGGAAGCAGGTGAGCTGGAGTCATAACCAGTGTTCCCTCTAAGCTGAGTTGGTGTGAGCTAGCCCACAGCTTTTTAGCCTCCGGCTCACACGTTTTTGTCTTAGCTCAGGAAGGAGGGCTCCAGAGCAAACTAATTTACGCAGTTGCCCAATCGCTCACTCATAACTTTAATGCCAGTAGCTCACGAAGT